AAACCACAAAATATACCTCCTTAAAGTAACTTAGAAAAATGAAGCATAGGACAAAAAATTTAAGAATCGGTATTCTACTTTTTATATAAAGTGTAATGTAAGTGAATAATTTTCAATACGGTCTCCATCAATCTACCAAGCACATATATTTACTGAAAAGAAAGGGTGAATTTTTTATAAAAACCAGTATAAACATACAGATATTTACAGTAATTATCGTTTTAACAAAAAAAAAATAAATCAATTAGTTAATATATAAATAGATAATTATTACCCAAATGTTTCCTTCCTGAACACAAAAAGACGCCGAGCAAAAATATTCCTGAGCCCACGATAAAGACGACAGTCATAACAAAAGCATAACCATCTAGACCTGCTATTCTGAAAGGCAGGGCAGGTGACGGTTGAGGTGGCGGTACGGGACAACTTTCTTCGCAGTCGACGCAACTACAAGCCGGTAAAATGCCCTGAAACAAACAAAAAACAGTTTTAGGCAGATACAACCATAGAGCTGACGGATAAATAATAATATAACAGTGCCATGAAAGCCCTTAACTTCTCAGTCCATGAGACAACTTATTACGTGGCCAAAAGTACCGGAAACAAAGTTTTTTAAAGAGATTTTCGACTATTAAGTTGTCTACGAGAAGGTTGGTACTACTGAGTTCCGGTCCTAGAAACAGCCGGAAAATTTATTTTCAAGTTGCAAAGAGGTTCTTCAGAAATATACAGTGGACTAGAATTTGTAGCCGATAATAATAAGAGGTGGTATTATATTGGTAAGGTATCCAAAACTGTAAATGTAAATCCGTACCTCGGAGGTAAAAGACACTATGTCCATTTTCTTACTTTTTCAGGAGAGCAGTTTTAACATTTTTTAAATTTTTAATCACTAATTACTCAAATGTTTCTTATATTTAACCAAGATTAATATATTATTATTGTGGTGTCTCGTATAATCGTTTTTCCTTCCATGAAGTGTTATGTACCTGAAGTTTACCGTTCATTATATAATTTTTTTTTTTAAATGTGTAGTTGGACATAGTGTTGTTTACCTCTAATAACTTTTTTAAATAATGTGACATTGCATGTTAAGGTCTCTACGAAATAAACAATACAAACACATTAAACAGCCTATACTATTATTTTATTAGAGGTAAATATTATAATGTTATAATAATTAAATTAAGAAAAGTTAAATAAAGTAAAATTATAGACAAGTTTCAAAATTGTTAAAGAGGCTCCATATCATCTTCATCTTCTTGTGGGTAATTGTTTGTGGCTACATCGCTATGTATTAAATTTTGATAAAATGCATGACAAACTAACGGAAAAAGGCAGTAAGGTAATGAAGTCATTAAACTTTTGTTTTCTGTTTGGTAATGGGTTTACTGAGACTTGATTTAATTGAGCTGGAAACGTTACTTGCTGTCTTCGATACCTCATGAAGTCCACCTCATACATATTTTGATTATTGAAATCGGTCTTAAAAAATAGCTTTCCAATGTGTTCTTGTTGGACTTGTAGGAGTCAATACATGTTGACAGTAGAACAGGATCTTCATTAACATTTTTTTTGTCTACTTACAAAAGGAGGATTAAGTGACAATTTCTTATCGAACAGCGTTTTGAAGTTTTTAAAATCTGCAAGTTCCATATTGTGCACTGTGTATTTACCTGATGTTTGCTTAACTAGCTGTTACCAGTCCCATGGTGTTAAAATGGTCACATTGGAGAGTTTCTTTCTTTTTCTCTCGATTAAAGCATAAATACTGTCTGCTTCCATATGTGTGTGCTCTTTCAGTAAAAACTTTTGAGTGATCGTCTTTATTTGAGGGTAAGTACGCAGTATCCAAAAATAGCACATTATAATACCTTTATTTTTATTTTGTCCATAACAGTTATTGGTCCAAAGTGTGATGTCCTCTACTTGACTACTTGGAATTGTATTGTCAGCCCATTTCAAAATTCACGAGGCAATTTCATCTCGGAACCTCGGAACCCTTTCGATTCGTCCCACATCATACATTGTACAGAATAATCACTGCTTCTACAAAAGCTTCCTTTTGTAGAAACTAATACTATTGTTTGTTCTATCGCACTATCTTCACTATCGCAAATGTCTATTTCGGGTGGTTTAAAGGAAAACTTGGAAGTCTTTATTAAAAATATGTGCGTCCAATTACTTTTTTACTCTGAGCTTTGGATCTACATGTCTTTCATTGCATTCATCAATTTACAGTTGATACAACTTTTCTATCGTAAGTTCTGTGCCAAGATAATCTCTTTTACTCCTTTCTCTGGAATAATGAATCTCGCACTTTGGGAATGATTTAATATGTTGATGTATACTATAGGTAGGAGTTTTATTGATTAGCGTGTGTCTACCTCTTTGATCAGCTTTTATTTAACCTCCTGGCTCAATTTTTTTCAACATATTTACTACTACTAAATTAGATATACAAAGCGTGTTTAAAAAAATAACCTTGCACACCCTTAATCGCTGATTGTTCACTGTAAAATGGTAGTGTAGTGTATTATTTTTAGATTTGGTAGAATTTAGGTCTTTTTTTCTTAATCGAAGAGTAGGTTGGATGTCGACACATGAGAAGATAAATTGCTTTTTAACATCTGAAACGTTTGTCTCAGTCCAGTATGAGTTGAAAATTTTTTGTCTTTCGTATTCTGGTAATCTTTCAGGGCATTTCATGCGACACATGCAAGGAAGCTTTAACATTTTTGCAGGCATGTTTTTGCCTTTTTTACTGAGATACTCTTTCCCACTAGCTATTTTTTATTTGCGAACATTACAGACCCAATTTTGTTCATTTTCTTCACGTTTTTTGCCTTTTTGTTTGCACTTGGTTACATTTTTACCTTTCTTTTAACACTTTTCTCTTCTTCTAAAATTACTTCATTATGTTCATTGGAATTGCCTGCATCACTGCTTAGGGATAAATCGTCCTTAAGAGGATTTTTTGTTATTGCCCCAATAGTCGTAGGAGTAATAAAAGCTTTCTCTTTTACCTTTGTTTTCGCTGGTTTACTTATACGTCTCAATCATTGTCGTCTGATTCTGAGCTTAGAGGCTCATAGGTTATATCAATATCCGAATTATCATCTCCAAACAAATTATCATCTTCGTCCACTTCCTTACCATTACCTTGGAAGTTACTGTAGTGACCAGGTGGTTCTGAAACAAATCCAATCTTGTAATAATAATTATAGGCTAATTAATAATAACTATAAAAATAACCCTTATAATTAAAGACCGGAATTTACTGAGCAATTTCCGTTACTTCCATTAAAAAAATATAGATCTGGCAACATCTGTTTACCCTAATCTGTTGGTATCAACACCAACAATAATTATTGTGGTATATCTATACAAAAGAATATACAATACTAAATATTTGAGGTTAGAAAAATACAAAATCAGTGTTAAAAAACAATAGCTTACCTGTAAGTGTTGTTTTATTTGGAATATTACAGTAATTGTAATATTCTTTTTCCAAGAGAGTTCGAATACATTTTACAATTATTAAACAACGAATTTATTGTACAACTTTAATCAATCTAACACAATTGCGATCTAAATAAAAAGGTTGCAATGATTTGAGTTCACGACAATTCCGCCAGGTACAAGGGTACATAACACTATGTCTGGATGGTAAATGACAATGCACACATTTACTAGAGGTAAACAACACCAACTCCACATGGTGTTGTTTACCTCTGACTGGAAGTGGACTTTGTGTTTATTAAAAAGTCGGTAACTTGCCGTAAAATTGTTTCTGGACATAGTATGGTTTACCTGTGTGTAGAGCCAGAAAAGTTATATTCAAAAGTGCAATAATCTAAATTTCGATAAAAATGGACATGGTGTCCTTTACCTCCGAGGTACACAAATATTATAAGCAAATATATAACTGATAAACTATCATTAAAAGGAGGTAATGATAATGCCTTTATCATGTAACAACTTAAAACTATAGGAAGAACTAATTCGTTCAAAATTGGAGTTGACTTTAAATACAACGATACATTGAATTGTGGCGAATTTTAGTCAAATGGAATTATTCTAAGACGATATAACATAAAAAGAAAGGCAACTCAAAGAAATAACAATGACGTTATTCTTCATCCGTCTTGAATGTGTATGAGTCGTCTAAGCTTTTTGAATCTCTTCACTGACATTACCTCAGCGATTGTTTCAAGTCGAGTTTCAGGACTCCAATAATCTTCAAAAGTAGCCACTTGTACCACACCCATTAGCATCTCCATGCTTACAAAAGCTTTTGGTTCAAATGGGATCGTGTTGAGAGATACCCCTGTTGATAGTGGGGAGTATACGTTAGTTTGATTTTATATGTAGGCAATCAAATCGTCATCAAAAAATCGCTGAAAATATGTTATATATATGGTATATGTCTTCCGTTGCATAGAAAGACGGCTCTGTTGGAAATTTAATGTGCTGGAAATTAGTTTTTTCCCACCTGTATTAATTGTTCAGACCTCTCTTTCGCAGTTTTAGATCGTAAAGGTAGCGGCTGGTTGTCTTCTGATTCTGTATCACTAAACGAATCAATTGGAAGCTTATTTGATTTAGAGGAAGAATCTTCATAGTCTGGATCAAAATCGTTAACATTGTCACCATAAATCTTTTTTTCGTCTGATGACTCTCCTATATCAGATATATACGGATTATCAGGAGAGAGTACTGCAATTATCTTCTTACGTGGACCGTAGAAAGTAGTGGCTGGTATCTGGAAATTATAAAAAAAAATCAATAATTAATCAATAAATAATTGAATATATATTTGGTTGAACAAATTAAAATTTGCAAATATGTAAAAATAAAATTGAACGATCAATGTGTACTAGGGAATACATACAAAATACAAGTGTTATTTTACCACTTGAAAATAAAATTATCGCTTCAAAATAAATTTTTTATATTCGCATTACTATATACTAATATAGTTTGAAATAAAAAAAACACAAATTTATAATGAAAACAAAAATATGATTATTTTTTACTTACTTCATCAATAGACTGTGCGTCCGCCATGTCACTAACAACACTGACTTCGTATTTCTTGAATACGAACTGGTTTTCCTCACGCCACCTGCTTTTATTCGTAAAGAGTGAATGTACAGTACATTCAACCAACTTACAGCTCTAAACGATTAACGGAATTTGCAGTAAACCTTTTGTTGTAGTAAAAGGCACGGTAAACTGCACTGGTGTTCTCCATAATGTATAACACTTTGCTAAGTTTTTAGGTATAAAATAAATATATGTTATTAACTATAAATATATGTTGTTCATAACTTTGCATATTTTGTTACATTTTTTTAATAAATAGTATTCTTAAGGCCGTTCCTTGCGTTTCTGGGCATACCTAAGTTCCAATGTAAAAGTTTATATCAAATAACGCAAAAACTATGGCAGATATTGAGATGAT